TACTCTGTGTTACTGCAAATAAACCGCCAAGATGCCTTGTGCAGTGATGTCCAAATATGTTATCAGGACAGCACTGCTTAAGCAGTCAGGGAGGTAACCGCAGCCTGACGGCACCATCTCGGCACTGTGAGGTAGTCTCACAGGTATTTTCTTTAGCTTTTGATGCATCCGGTGTAGGACTTTATCCTTTCTACCATGTGACCCAACATTCGGAAATGAATCAAACTCACAGCAAAGTGGCCTTACAGAGTGCTGATGGATTCCTCTCTAAAGGGCCGTGTCTCTTCCCACTGACTAGACCGTCCCTATCTGCTCCTCAGGTGAAGTCTGGGCTTCTGACTGCCCTCACTCCCCCTGGCAATGAACCAAGCACCCTTTGTGTTGTCACCTGCCCCTCGCCCTCCTGCTTCCCTCCCTTGCTTCAGTCTCAAGCAAGACAGCTAGCCCACAGTTACCAGCTGCATTCGGTACACACGGATACAGTAGTTACAGGACATACATTCTTTCTCTTTGATCCTTATGTTAATCTTGTGAGGTGCTATGCCCATTTTACAAGTGAGGAAACCAATGTTCACAGAGGCTGAATACATCACTCAAGGTTACAAAGCCAGTGAGAGAGAGAGAGAGAGAGTCAGAACTTCCTGGCTTCAGTCCCTGTTGGTCTTCTGCTACTCTGAACTTGATGGGCACAGAACTAGGCACACAGAGTGAGATGGTCTCATGAGTCTCATGTTACAGTACAGTTCAGGAGTCAGGAGAGCTCTCTCTCAGGAAATGACCTCCTCTCTGAGGCCTGAAGGAAGAGTGCAGCCAAGGAGAGTGCCAGGTGAAAAGTCTGGGCAGTGAGAACAACAGTACAGTGACCTGAGGTGGCAAGCATACCAGTGAGCTTGAGTAACTGCGTGACTGCAGCCTGGTGAGCACAGGCAAGGAGCTCAACATTAGAGATTGAGTAGAGGAAGAGGAGCGAGAGGACTGAAATGAAATGACCAGTTCCCAGTGGAGATTTGGGATGGGAAGGTAGGCTATCAAAAAATCCAGAACTTTCAGTCAGGCGTGGTGGCTCATGCTTATAATCCCAGCACTTTGGGAGACCGAGGTGAGAGGCTTGCCTGAGCCCACGGGTTTGAGGCCAACCTGGGCAACTTGGCGAAACCTCATCTCTACTATAAGTAAAAAAACCCCAAAAAACAAAATAGCCGGGCGTGGTGCTGCATGCCTCTGGTTCCAGCTACTTGGAAGGCTGAGGCGGAAGGATCACCTGAGTCCAGCAGGTAGAGGCTATGGTGGCCATGAGTGTGACACTGCACTACAGCCTGGGCAACAGAGTGAGACTTTGACTCAAAAGAAAAAAAAAGCTGGAATTTTCTGTCTCCAAAAGATCCGCTAGGGTGTGCCAGTCCCATAAATTAGGTGGATATTTTTTCAAACGCAGTTGGCCTCCTTGTATTAGAGATTTCCTTGCTGAGAATTGGATAAGTGAGCTATAACTGTTTCTTTTTCTTTTCTGTTTTTTATTTTGAGTTGGAGTCTCACTCTGTCACCCAGACAGGAGTGCAGTGGCCGCTCCCGGCCACGCAGCCTCGCCTGCTGGGCTCCGGCGATCCTTCCGCCTCAGCCTTCCGAGTAGCTGGAACTACAGGCGCGCGCTACCACGCCCGGCTGATTTTTTGATTTATTGTAGAGATGAGGTCTCGCTGCCCAGGCGGGTCTCGAACCCGCGGGCTCAGGCAATCCTCTCACCTCAGCCTCCCAAAGGCGCGGGATTACGGGCTGAGCCACCAAACCCGGCACCAGGGATCTTTTCAATAAAGTGCTATGGGCAATATTGAAAAATGGTTGTTGTCTTCAAGAAGCTTTTAAACCATGTATTTGATTAGTTCTCAAATGCACATTTTGACATCTCAGAAATGAGGTTGCGTCTAAAAATTGATTGTATCTTAGCATTTTTTTACAATGCAACTGAGAGCATGTTTTTTTCTAAGCGATATGCAAAATAATGATGTCACTTAAAATCAGTGGTATCTGTCAATCGACGAAACACAGCTGTTAACAAGAAGCAACAATCCCAGCACTTTGGGAGGCCGAGGCGAGAGGATTGCCTGAGTTCAGAGGTTTCAAGATAAGCCTGGGCAACATGGCGAGATCTCTACACTAAATCAAAAAATTAGCCAGGCGTGGTGGTGCGTGCCTATAGTTCCAGCTGCTTGGGAGGCTGAGGCAGAAGGATTGCCGGAGCCCAGCAGGTCAAGGCTGTGGCGGCTGTGAGTGTGCCACTGCACTCCAGCCTGACAGAGTGAGACTCCGACTCAAAAAAAAAAAAAAAGAAGCAACATACGTGTGTCAATGGATAGTCAAAGGAGCCTTGTCCATTTTGTTCCTTCTACGTGTGTGACTGCTGCCTCTGCTTCACCAGTTCCACGAATCTGCCACAACTCAACTCAAACATCCTCCCTGCAGAAAGCCCTGTGTGTCACCCGGTCCCATCACCCACTCTGGGTTCAAAGTCCTTCCTCTGGGCTCCGGGGCTAGCCTCTGACCTGCGTCCATCACATTTGTTACCTTTACCTGTACATTTACATGTTACCCGCGTCCATCGCATTTGTTACATTACAAATGTGTTATATGTGTCCTTTAGTTGGCCCACCGCTCCCCCACCACCCTGTGAGCTCTTTGAAAGCAGAGATGCAGTCGTAGACCTGCGTTCCTAGGGCCTGCTTTCGGAGCCTGCCATTCAATAGGTATTTGCTGAGTGAATGAAGCGGGAGGGCTTGGACAGGCAGAACGTGTTCTGTAGCGTGTGTTATACCAGAGTACTTCAGAAGAAAGAGCCCAGGGCTAAAAAGGCCGAGGAAGGCTTCCTGAAGGGAATGGGGTATGAGCTACTCTGGCAGGATCGTTCAGGACTGCTGTAAAGAATGAGAAACGAGCCAGGCTTGGTGGTTCAGCCTGTAATCCCAGCACTTTGGGAAACCGAGGCGAGTGGATTGCCTGAGCCCAAGGGTTCGAGACCAGCCCGGGCAACTTGACGAGACCTCGTCTCTATAAGAAATTTAAAAAAATTAGCCGGGTGTGGTAGCAGGCGCCTGTGGTTCCAGCTACTTGGAAGGATCGCTGGAGCCCAGCAGGTTGGGGCTGTGGTGGCCAGGAGTGTGCCACTGCACTCCAGTCTGGGCGACAGAGTGAGGCTCTAGCTGAAAAAAAAAAAAAAAAAAAGAATGAGAACCGAGCAGGGCTAGGACCCTCCTCTCCCCGACGAGGAGATCCAATGGCAATGGCGATTGTCACCTAGCTGGATTCCGTGTTTGAGTTTCAAGAGGCGATGGGGTTACAGTCATCACTGCTCTTAGTGATTGACTCTGGGTGCCAGAACAATAGACACTCGGAGGAAAAGGCAGTGCAGCCTTAAGTGAGCACTCACAGGAAGTCCTGAATATACTTAGTCTTTGTGGTTTAGACCTCAGAGCTTCCTGCCAGGGCTTGACAAGATTTAGCACGTCTAAGAAGCCAAGAAGAAGGCGGGCAAACGGGACCACAAACATGGCACCAACATGTCAAAGCAGGTGCCTTCTCACCGCCTAGTGTTTTAGAACTCTAACTGAAAACTGGCTCTGTTCTCCCCACTTCCCCCGAAGTATGGCTAGTGTGACTGCTAGCTGGGTGTGGGGTCTGACCTTTAAACGATGGTCACTTAAGACACTTGGAGCCGGGCTCGGTGGCTCAGCCTGTAATCCCGCGCTTTGGGAGGCTGAGGTGAGTGGATGGCCTGAGCCCGCGGGTTCAAGACC